CTTACTTAGTATGGCTTACTTCAAACAGTTGTACCTGCATGTTGTTGCTGTTTGTATCTTTATGGTTTATCGCACTGTAAATCCCTTTGGAGAAAAGTGTCAGCTCATGCAAGTAAGAATACGGAATATGGAAAATCTAAATGATTTTTTTCAACATTAAGACCAAAAATGCTCCTCCTCGGGCAACTGTTGTTCCTGCGTTGTTTTTACTCTACTGATTATATCAGGGGGGTCAAACTCAATTTCATCGCGGGCCACATTAGCATTACGGTTGCACTCAAAGGGCCGGTTGTAACTATAAATATACATATATAAATATATAATATATATATATATAAAATAATGTATTATATTACATTATTGCCTCTGAATTGGATTATTATTGGATAGGATAATAACTTAGTAATTATATACGTCTGAAAGCAGAAGTCTAGGGCAAATCATTGCAAGCCTCTTCAGTGCGCATGTCACAAAACGAGATGCATTGTGGGACATGTAGTTTATGGGCAACCTGCTTCTGTAAAGTGGCATGTAACCATATAATAAAAGTATTATATTCTTTGCAAGCTCTTGCGGGGCCACATAAAATGAAGTCGCAGGCCGGATATGGCCCCCGGGCCTTGAGTTTGACACCCCTGGTTTATATGAAGGTGAATACTGTATTTCAAATGTGTTTCCCACACAAGATACAGTATAGCAACAGAAAAACAACACTGATCAGATTGTTTGGAGATGCAGACAGTGGAGAGCTTTATCCAGCGCAGCATGCCTCAGGACACGTACACTTATGCTGTAAGGCTGATGTCCCTGATGTGTTTAGTTTTCGCCCTTGTCCACGAGCAGGTTGTTTATCTGAAGCGCACAATAAGCGGCCCCTCATCCCATGTCCTCTGTCCCTGTCATACTGTTCTCTAATCACTGTAATCTGTAAGTAAACTGTCCCACTACTTGAAATCTTTATCCCACAGATAAGTACACTGGAAAAAGACGCTACTCTCTGTGTGTGTCTGCCTGTCTTCACCCTGTTTCTTTTCCCCTCACACACACATACACACTTTTCGCAATCAATGTTAAGCATCGGATAAGCAGCAGTGTATCTTCTGATGGGAGAAGAAAGGCAGCTGCTCTACTGGTACCGAAACATGAGGGATCCAGTTACACTACCAAAGAAGTTTATTCCCATGTGAAAAAGATCAGGGCTGTTTTAAACCCTCCTTATCAACTCCAACAAATTTGTCCGACAGTCACGGCATATTTGAACGCTGACAAAGGCTGTCTTTGTGGTCGGGGTTTGGTTTTCGGCCTCATCTGTGATGAAAATCTTCTTGTTTTTCAAAGCATCATTGGCCACCTTGAAGAGCACAACGACCACACTGCAGCTCACAATCAGATCCCTAAATATAGACAAAGAAGTCTTGATACCAAAGGCTGAAAAGGGCGCTATTTTCCTGTAGTGTGTTAAATAGATTTATGAGCATGTAAATGGTCTGTAAAGGCTCAAATCCCTGTGTTCCCATCAGAGGGAGTTTCTCTCCAACACACTCTCCCCCCATGTTTGAAACGTCTCCAATAGAATACTTTGTTTACTTCGGTAACATCGTGACAACACTAGGTAACACTTGTGCTTCTGTTGGCTAGCACTCGAACACATTGTACCTGATAGGCTAAGGGGCGGGACATCTCTAAGTGGTTGACCAATCACAACAGAGCCAGCCAGCTAACCAATCAGAGCAGACTGGGCTCTGGTTTCAGTCAGAGGGTGAAAAGAGGTGCTGCAGCACAGGCAGTATGAGAACAATAAAAACTGTGTGTCTTTGATTGTACTTGCTTTATTTCCATATCCCAGTTAATCTTTACATGCAGAATCTATGATCCAAGTATAGAGGAGATTTGGCAGTGAGTTTATACCTTCCTTTTCGCTGCTTTTAGTCATTTACTTTCCAAATCCAGTTGATCCAGGTGGTGCAGAAACAGATTTAGAGACATTCCCCGAGCCAGAGAGCTAAACAGACGGGAGGATGTTGTTTTTAAGTCTTCTGTGTCTGGGAATCAATGTACCGTGTCCCTTTGAGACAGCGGAAGTGCAGGTATTACAATGGCAAGTGCCAAAATAATACTTCTCCTAACCTTCAGCTTCACCCTGCAACAAGCTCCTTTATCTGATGAGCGTGTTCGAGTACGGCTGAGACACTGAGAGACGCTGAGAGATACTGTCAGATTTTCAATGCCGTCAAAACAGATGCTATCTGCCCTCTTCATGTCTAATTACCTGTTTACTCCAAGGGCCTAGAATGAATGGTGCTGTTGATAAGAACTCACTTTAGTTTAAGGAAATTGTTAAGATTCTAGATTATTTTGTTATGTATTTTTAGCGTTTACATTCTAAGATGTTGTTGGAGTTTATGGTAACATGTAAGCTCATGTCCATCTCTAGTTTGAAAGGTGAGGGGAATGATCAACACTTAAGAGTAAGTTGGAGACAGCAATAAGAAAATAAGTTCATGATAATCTGACACTTGTAGAAGTAAAACAAAGTGCCAATGAGGGCGACTACTTCACAAAGTCAAACAGGTTATTGTTCTCTTTACCATTTCCATCAGTCCTCTGCTCACACTTTGGGTGTGTTACAAAACACTTACCCTCCTTAAATATGTTAAACCCTAAATACTGCATGCCATCTTATCAGCTCTGTACTGAGTCAGCATGCCAACCTGCATGAAGTTATGATCTGATGGTATTCAGCTTTTGTAGAAATATTTCTCGAGAACTCAAGAGAGAAAATGTGTACATGTGTTAGTTGACAGATGCACACTTTGAATTCAGTTTTAAAGGGGACTTCCTTACAAGATACTGTGTTTTTTTTATCTGTAGTGTTTGTTTGAATTGTTTTATATTGTATTGTATGTTTTTGGAAATGTGCACGGTGCACAATATGACTTTGGTCACTTCATGTACTGTAAGAGAGATTGTATCTCATGCAATGCTTAAAATGTAAATATGTAAATATGTCCATCTTTAGAAAGGATCCGGTAGAGTCTGGGGCTCGTGATGACAGTCTTTGTTCAGGACTACTACAGTTAAAGATAAGAAAGTACATCTGCCTGTGATACCTGGGGCAGGGCCGCTCGAGGACATTCTGGCACTCTAAGCTAACGGCTGAATTGCCATGGGAGCAGATAATGGAGATGGTCCACAGCCACAATTAGACAGCCAATGATTGCAGTAGATGACATACCTTGGACCATTTAGCTTAGACCACATGCGTCAAACTCAAGGCCCGGGGGCCAAAACAGGCCCATGGTGGATTTAATTTCGGCCCGCAGGATAATTTTTTATTCCTATTAGATCTGGCCCGCTGGTATATTGCACGCACACCTTCACTCAATCCTGAGGGTTTCCTCAGCTCAGAGCCTGACCCCAAACATTGATGAACTTGCACCCAAGATGAGATGCCAAGTATCTGGCTTGAACTAGCATCACAGAGCAGCAAACTGAGTTTACATGGATGTTTCCTTCTGCACTTTGTTTCTTGAGACAACAGGGCATGTTTGGTTTGTTCTTTGAGGGAAATAGTTTTGTTGAAGCTGTTGTTGGCCTGTGGGAAAATGTAATCATAAGAAATGACTCTGCAGATAGAGCCATAAGAAATGAATGCAACTGATTATTTAATGTTTAATGTTGTTTTTATAGGCAATCATTTAAGCTTTGTTAGTTCCAGGTTTAATATGTGCAATAAGTCATTTCAATAAGTTTTGCAATAAACATTGAACCAGTCCAGCCCTCGACTAGTACCCATTTTTTAATTTTGGCCCACTATGTATTTGAGTTTGACACCCCTGGCTTAGACCCTAGATCTGGCTATTCTAATATTTAAAACTAGACACTTTTTACATCTTATGTTACACTTTTCTGTAAAAAATATTGATGAAGTTTAGTTTCTATCTATATGCCTACTGTTTGTGTGGTTTTACCAGCACCACATTTTAAGTGGCAGATTATAATGAAATGCTAGGAAATAAATGTTTTTATCAAGTTTGACAATGGAATATATTGAAATAATTGTCACAATGACTTAAAGAACATTCTGTAGAAATACATATATATTTAATAAAGGTTTTTCCATGAATGTTTATGAATGAGACTCAGATCACCGTCTCTTACCCTCTGTCCGTCCCAAAGTGGCAATAATGTTAACAAACAGGTTTTGTTACAATAATAATCTTTATCACATTCTTGAGTCACGTGCTGGCACTTAACATCTTCTGATACAACTTTGAGAAAACACAGTCTTTATTTAAGTAAGACTTTAATCAATACCAAAACTTTGAATTGAATGTGTCATCAACTCAAATGCATTTGTTACTACAGCACACTACTGCTGATTCGAATGCATCTTGATACTGTATGTTACATTTTGAATATCTTTTGATATCTTCTTCTATCTGTTCATTTTGTTCTTTCTTGTTATCTACAGTTTCTCTATCAACTTATCTGTTTAGGGTTTTTAGAGGATGGCAACACAGAGATAGTTTATCTTCATATAATCAGGACAGAAGCTCTTAAAAGGAATCAGGTTTCATTTTGTGGCTCTATTTTGCAATACAAACCTTATCTCTGTCTTGTCTTGTGTTCTTATGTAGTTTGACTATAATCAGAGTTTAAATGTAAAAAATCAAACATGTAAATGACGGTAGCCCCAAACACTCAAATCGTCAGTAATATTGTGTTGCTCTTACCGTTTATACCAAAATAAGCTGCTCCACTACTACATAACTATAACTACAAATAGTTTCTACATACATATTTAGTTCTATTTATGTATAAAACTATATTTTATATTATCATTATTTAACAATTGGAGTCAAACTGAGCTTCAGTACAGGATTGACTGAAAATATGACTGTATATGACGGATAAGTTCAACTTGTACTTGTCTATAACTAAGGTACTGTAAGTTCAAATAATACGTTTTTTGTATTTCTTAACACTCAGCTTTCAAGTTAAATAAAATGTATCCACATTTATTTAATGATGAATCAACAAACCATTTGCAACTGACAGTAACGACATGTCGATCGCCTCAAGATTGTGTTTAAAACATACAAAATGACAGAATGTGTGTAGGAACAAAATCATTGTAAATGGCACAGTGGTAAATGTAACACATGGGTTAAAATCATGCCAAAATGACAACGATCTCATTTTGATAGTGAACATATAGCCTAAATATCAGGGAAACTAAACATAGGTTTATGACTTTAAATCATAGCTTCATAAATCCCCTCCCTTTCACCATAGCGTGGACCCCCAGGGGCCGCTGTAGTCCCACAGGTAGGGTCTGTACTGATAAGCTTTGCAGAAAGAGGTGATGAGAGAAGTTCGGACCAGCTCGTCTCTCAGGCCCAGTCCCTCTGCTTTCTCCCTGCAGAACTCTGATGTTTGCTGCTTTCGTTTCGTCTTGTACCTCCGGTTCTGAAACCAGATTTTGACCTGGGTCTCTGTGAGTCTTAAGGTGCCGGCCAGATGGGACCTCTCTGGGGCCGACAGGTATTTCTGCTGGTTGAACTTCTTCTCCAGCTCAAGCACTTGGAGGTGTGTGAAGGCAGCCCTGGAGCGCTTCTGTTTCCCCGTGGAGGAGGGACTGGACTCTGAGGTGCCGGGACAGGATGTGTCCAGACAGTCTGTAGAGGAAAGATGTGATTAAGTCATTAAGGGGGGAAACCACATGTCTGCATGTCAGGCTGTAAAGTGATGGTTCACAGAGAATCTCAGGATCAGCTATATGCAAACCCCTGGAAATAAAAAAGACTCTCAATAAACATGTTCTCCTTAAATCCATACATTTATACAACATTTCCACAAATGATCATTATACAGCCCTATAATTCCAGCATATATTTACCATCTTTTAAAACAATATTCATCAAATGAAAGTAAAATACCTCTATTCATTACATTACTGCTATGGAAAGTCTGCAGGAGCTCACCTGTCTGTTCTCCAAACTCCTGATCGCTGAGTTGCTCTGAAACCTTTTCAGCTCCTTCTCTCCACTGAGAACATCTGTCCATCTTCTGTGAACAGTGTTTGCTGTTTAATCTGGTCCTGTCCTTTAAGGAGAGGATGTCCTCTATGAGGAAGGAGGTCAAAGGTTTGCCTGTGACCGACATTTCCATCCAGTAATCCACAAATCAGAGGCCTCTCTGTGGCAGAGTGTTGAGCAGTGTGTCTCCTCACACTCTCACACCGGCTGAATTTATACAAGCAGGGCGTGTTTACTCTGCTGCCCCGACAAGAGAAGGAGGCGGGACAAGAGGAGCCAAATACTGCTCTGAGAAACTTTCATTTTCCTCTTCAGACTTGATGGACATTTCTAAGATTATACAATGATGTCCTATCCAAAGAAAATAGTTGTCATGGATGTCGCTTCAACAATCTTCTGATGCAATAAAACCAAATGCTTACAATTGTTAATAAGGGCACAAGTGATGTGCTTTGAATCCAAACAATATGCACATTTTGTCATGACTGTAAATTGCCACTTAGGAAATATTTTATCCGGTAGGCTACACTTGATCAAATACCAAACCTACAGTCTAACCTAACAGATCTCTGACTCAAATTAAATTATCTATGGTATGAATCAACGTATTTTATGATATGCATATAGGTGTCTCTAATATGTAGTCTATCCTTAATATAAACGAGATCGACAAAATATCAATAACTTCTCTTTGTCAAATGAAACTTAAAAGTGTATTTACTATATGACATGTTTATTATATTGTAGTTTATCCCATATTTACTATGAGCCACTCACATTACATTGTAACAGTCTGTTTGCACCTGGGGGAGTATAGCAGTGTTCACTATAGACACCCGGGTGCAATTAGCATCTGCCTTCCTATAATCATAAACCAACAACAAACAGCTAACAAAATTAGCAAATGTATTATCAGTTAGGGAAACAGTAAATTCAGATGGAGAACATTTGTTCATGTTAGTGTCCAGACAGTAATATTATTGGAGTAAATGGTGGATAATGTCTCTCAAATTAAGTTTCATACAATAGTTAAATGGATTTACGTCTCGTCCTGATCTGCTCGAAACTGTTGTCTGCATTTGGTGTGTGTGTGTGTGTGTGTGTGTGTGTGTGCGTGCGTGTGTGTGTGTGTTGTGTGTGTGTGTGTGGTGTGTGTGTGTGTGTGTGTGTGTGTGTGTGTGTGTGTGTGTGTGTGTGTGTGTGTGTGTGTGTGTGTGTGTGTGTGTGTGTGTGTGAGTAAAGGGGGGGGGGTCAGAGTGGGTGGTCGTACCTACTGCAGCACTAATGACTTGGACACATTGAGGCCGGCTCCTGAAACAGACACACTCATTGCTCTGTGTTTGTTTATTTGTTGTTCTCCGTGGCTCATCCTGACTTTCTCCAGGAGACAGAGGCGTTCACTGGCAGTGTCTGTGCTCCTCGGGGAGTTCATGCTTCATTTGGAAATGCATGAATGTAGGTATGATAAACATGATCCTCCCTGTGCCCTCTGCCCTGCTGACTCCTCCAGCTTCCTTGGCACCAACCACACACCATGTCTCCATGTGACTGCTTTAATATGATGAATGTGTGTAACCGGTGTCGTTAAGCGTTGTGTTTTGCGTTGTACATGGATGACCCGAGCCAGCATACAGTTTTGACGATCTCCGTTTTATTACTGACAACCTGACAAAAGATATAACAATCAGTCTTATATTAGCTTTCCCTCACAGTGACTCCTCTCACGTGGAACATTTACAAAAAGGGAAGAGAAAACTTGAGGGACACAATATATAGGGGGGGGAAGTCCTCACAACAATAATCTCCTGAGCACAGCGACCACACTTCAAAGGTTCCGCCCACTGATCTCCGACCTCGTCAGGTATTGAACATTCAATAAAATGAAGAACACAGAATTACTTAATATAAAACACAGAATTTGTGTGATTATACATAATGATTTACAAATAAACCCCACTGCATATTTACAACTGTTACATGTGCACCAATTCAACCTTCTGAAATCATATTATTTCTCATGTTAAGTGCTTTCTGTGTGTGAGATAGAAATATATTTATTTAAAGCTGCACTGACTAATATTTTCCTTTGCTGTGTTGTGGATCATCGCTTAAAAAAGCCATCTGTTTAAGATCTACTGATGTTCCTCTTAAGCATTAGCTGCTGTCTTGTCAACACAGCATTAAGATCCTCCGTACGATACGTTTCACCTTGAATTCTTTGTCTGTGACCGTCTGTCTGCAAAACTATGTTGAGCACAGGAGGCTTTTATTCCTCTGTCTGGGTACAGTTTTTCTTCCGATTTATTTAAAACCATTGTGGATTTCCTGACAGTACAGCACAGAAAAGGTTGAAAGCTTCCACATTATATCAACTCTGTGATTCCACTGAAGGTTTAGACATTTTCTTCTACTGTGTGTCACCTTAATATCACTTCAAAACATCATCAAACACATGTTTAGTTGTCATCATACACACAGATGCAGCTCAATGACAGGAGCCAAACAAAGCCATCATCCTCTGCCCTTATTCTGAGACAACCCACATGATTGATCTCAGTTGAAAACGATGACATTTCCTTCATATTTATTGTCCCCTGAGCACTCCTTGCACAGATACTCGGCTGCATATTTGAGCACTCAGTAGCACCTCTGACCTTTTAGCCCGGGGAAGGCATTTGTCTTCCGCAGTGTAAACTATGTGGTGACGATGTTTTTCTTTGAGACACCGAAAGTTGTTGTGCCATCAATCTTCCGTTGTGTTGCCGCTGCTTCTTTGTCTGAGAGGACAAGAAGCCAGACGTTGTTGTAACTGTAGATTTCTCACAGTTTTATCAGTGTAGTACAGTACCTGCACCTGGCCTATTGCACAAGGTCTTCATGCCATCTACTGTATTGTCTGGCGTTACAAAGATGTCATCGGATTGTACGGGGTATTCAGAGCAGAGGTAAGCATGTTAACAGACTTAAGTTAAAAAAACTGAATAGATCTGGTACTAATGACTTTATTTACCAATGTTACGTTATGCCAATCATTCTGTACACTGACTTCAATCTATGTGTTAATGTTATGTATTTATTTATACATATTTCACTGTTGATATGTATATATTTTTTTCTATTAATCATTTTTTATTTAATTAATGTGCAATGCTTTGCTTACATGCTGCTGTAACAAAAAAAGGTTACAAATTTGGATCAAACCATCTAATCTAATTTAATGGCCATAATTCATTACTTGAGTCATACATGGAGTGACTCAATTATGTCTTTTAATTCAATGTAGCAGCTAAAGGAGCTAACTTTATTGAACTTTTTTACTGCCAGGTATCCATAATACATCTTAATTCATTAGTTGATTTAATTTTTCATTAATGAACATAGAAATAAATACAATTTTAAGCTGTCAGATAAATGTAATGGAGTAAAACATACAACTTCTGCCTCCAAATGTTGGTGGAGTAGAAGAATAAAGTAACATGAGATATTGATACTTAAGTAAACTACCTCAACAAATACTTAAGTTCAGTAATTCAGTAAATGTACTTAGATACTTTCCACCACTAAAAGTAACCTTTTGTCATGTGAAAGACATGTAAGAGTCTTCCACAAGAGGGAGCTTTAAAGCGACGCAGCCAGCAGCCACTTCAAACCACAGGGACAAACACACAATGAGCAAACTCACCAGAGGATTAGTGTGAACAGAGTCTGATTATACTCTGTCAATAGTTATCTTTCATCCTCGTGTAGCTCATAACTTTAGTGGTCACAGGGTGGATGTTTGGACAGAGGAGCTGATCCTGAGTCTGTGAATCATCTCCATCATAAACACCAGATTATCAGACAGTGAAGGCCACCACACAACCAGAGGCATATCTGACTTCCTAAAGCTGACGTAATGCCGCATGATTTAAACTTTTTTAGAGTAAACTATAATGGATGTTTCACTGATGGCCAGATTTACGTCATCCTTTATTCAAACGGACCCTCATCATCTCAGTGTGATCTAACATCTGAATTTATCCTGCTTTCATTCATACATAATCTCTGTCTCTATCTCTCTCACAAACACACAATCACACACACACACACACACACACACACACACACACACACACACACACACACACACACACACACACACACACACACACACACACACACACACACACACACACACACACACACACACACACACACACACACACACACACACACACACACACACACACATGCCTAACCCTAACCCTAACCCTAACCCCTAACCAAGTCTTCACCCTAAAATGAATGATTCTCCTCCATATTGTCCCCATAATGGAAGCCAGTCTATGTAAACAGATGTAGGTCCCCACAAGGATGGTAATGCTAGGCCACACACACACACACACACACACACACACACACACACACACACACACACACACACACACACACACACACACACACACACACACACACACACACAGAGGGGGGGGAGCTGTTGATCTCTCAGCTACACACCTGAACATTAACTACCTTATTCTCTACATTTCTCCTTTAGAGTTGGCAATGATCCAGGAAATATGTGAAAGTATTTTTTGACGACAATGCCTATTTCCAAGACTCTCCTCTCCATGCAGGTTGTAACAGAAACTTTGCACACTTCTGTTCAATGCTACCTCTCTTAAATCAGCGGCACAGCTCTGCCACTTTAAATGATACGGCATATATTTCATTCTTAGAATATACAGTCATATTCTTATTGTACTTACTTTTTTGTATATTTATATAGCTTGTAAATTCTTGTTTACTATTGTTCTTATACGTTTTAAGATAGTTTTATAGTTAGACATTTGTTCATTTTCTACTTAATGACTCTTGTGTTTATTCACCGTTGTACACCAGAGCAACTTCCATATGTACTACTTGGCAATAAACCTGATTGTGATTTTGGTTCTAAAATGATTTAAGTTCCTAATTGTAATTTTCCTTGATTTGATTCTGTTCAGAAATGTTTTGCATATCTGAGTTTTTGTGAAAGAATGTGTTTGATTGAATGTTTCTATAGTTCATGAATAAGAGCATGGGTTGTGAACATACCCATCATTATCACACACCCCACACACACACACACACACACACACACACACACACACACACACACACACACACACACACACACACACACACACACACACACACACACACACACACACACACACACACACACACACACACACAATCTGATGGGTTGAAGTGTCTGGTCTCCTCTCTGTCTGCAGCTTCCTCTTATCTGAGTGGAGAAGCTCCTTCAGCTGCTCTCTGCTGATTCTCCTCCTCAGGCCCTTTAGGTCAGAATCCATTAAGGGTGAAACACCAACACACACTCTTATAGTCAATTCACTTATTATATCATTTGACACATATATAATTATATAATATATACAAATGTCAGGCATGTGTAGCACATACAGGCAAGGTTGATGGACTTGGTAAAAATCCATATATCCATGATTATAAAAAAAAACCTTAACATTTGCTTTTGGTGTGATGTTTAATGTAAATTCCCTTAAAATTACATAGTGGATTTACCTTTTTTTCAATTTTTTACAGGTGTCAAATAATACACTACTTTCAGTTTGCAGGACTAAGTTAAACAGCATGAATTAAAATAAAACTAAGAACTACTTATTTGCACTGCGAGTGGATTCCTCCGCGGCTCATGGGTGAGTGACAGGTCGGACTGGAACTGTTTCCCGTGTGATTGAAAGTTTGAAAAAGTTAAAGAGCCACTGTGTCTGCGGGTTTGTTTACCAAGCAAAGCTCCGGGACAGGACAAGCTCTCCAGCCTTATCAGCGGATTTGTGAATGGGACAATAATGAGGTCAGTTTGATAGAGCAGCCCTGCAGGTCAGATGTCACTTCATCCATTAGCTGTGTGATGGCTCTCTTTGATAACAACACACAGAGGACAGCTCAGCAACCGGCCACTAAAGGGCTTCTAATCAGGTATGTTCACTTATTTGAAATGAAGAGGATTACACATTTTAACTGAATTAAGGTATTATTTAGTTAAGTATACACATTAATGACGTTTAAAAATACGTTTGAACGTTGTTTTTTGTCAAAGTTGGACAGTATCACCTTCGAAAAATGCAGGCTTATGTTCCATGAAGCGCCAGTAGAATAATAAATAGATAAATACATAAAAACACGAATTAAATATTATAACCAAAAATAATCTAATAGCAAAACGAAGTTGTGGATTAGTTTAGAAAATAACACGAATTGTACCAATATTGTATAACTTTTTATAATCGTAGGAAAATATTAAAGGATATCATATTTTTGATGACAGTAAATATCCACCCATTATTTATTATTACAAGGCTTTTTTAACAACAGAACAATTCCAAAACATACATAAACAATATATACAAATTCTCCATTGAATTATGCTATAATACACGCCATTTCCCTGCTTTGATCACCAGCCTCTTACACTCTGTAATGAAGCCTGGAAGTGTCCGTGGTTGAAGCCCCCCTCACCTGATAAATCCACCATCTGATTATTATTATTATTACACATCTGTGCGGCTGAGGGTGACACGCTGTGATAGCCGCAGCCGTACACACTGCCGCTGTTTCCGTATCCAAACACGGGGTTATAATGTCCCAGAGTCACGTTATACGGTGCGGAGCTGCAGAGCTTCCCGTCCCGCACCAGCACCGGCACCGACACCCTCCTTCCTGCAGAGGGGAACCCCAGCTCCAGAGACAGGTCCTGCCTTTGCCTCTTGCACTTGTATCTCCTGTTCTGGAACCAGATCTTCACCTGTGTGGAGGTGAGCTTCAGGGCCAGGCTCAGGTGCTCTCTCTCCGGGGCGGACAGGTACCTCTGCTGCCGGAAGCGCCTCTCCAGCTCGGACACCTGGGACTGGGAGAAGAGGACCCGGGGCTTCCTGCGGGGCCGGGATCCGTTCTTCAGGGTTTTCTCACTTTCAGGTGAACTGTCAAGACCGCTTATGTCTGCATATGAGAAAATAAAACAGTCAAATTAAGTAAAGAAAAAAACAAACAGCTAAATGCTAAATATCTTTAAAATGTTGCTTCCAAAAAATTACACGATATCTCATCATCAAATATAAATATTGAAAGACTTAATAGGTTTCCAATTTTATTATTTTTAAATTGAACATATGTTGATGGAGCAAGATGGTTTTTTTTACACAATAATAAACTATTGCAAGAGACGACCCTGTATACATCATCGTCATGATGCAGCATATTTTACAGTATATAATAATGTTTATTCTTTCCACATTTTAACCCAAAAAAACATTGACTTGTGCCACAGCAAAGTCAAAAACAACACATGGCATTAAGTAAACGTTAGTAAATAAGTGAATTCGATTATTTTAACGTGTCAAAGACGACATCTTATGGTAAAAAACAATAAATATTACATAGTTATTTATCACACTGTTCATGAGTTAATAAAGAACCTGTGGAAATTATAAAAAAACAACACTTCTGTGCCCATTTTTTATTAAAACGGTTCATCCATGATTAAATATAAAGCTTGTCATAAATGATTACAATGAATAAAGGTAATCATAAAATCAATCATTGCCTGCTCATAAATTGAGTTGATCACTTGTGGATATTCTTGGCGAATATTCCAACTACGTAAATGTATTTTTTAGGTAAATCTGTGTTTATTAAAAGATACATTCTTCTCAGTAATGTTGTTTATACATTTAGAGGTTTTAAGAAAAGGAAAACGTGACAGGTAGTTTCATTCCTGCTATTACGCACTAAAGGCCCCGCACTCTCTCGGCCTGAACAACCCTGAGTGACCATCAGAGAGTAATAGCCTACTTTATATATATTTAAACAGTGTTATATAACTTGTAGAGTAATCTCACCCTGCTCATGTATCTCCTCTTCTGCTGCTGAGTTATGAATATGGAGCTTCTCCTGCATCCCGGAGACGCACTGCTCAGCCTGGCAGTCATAAAGGTCCCTGGGCCGGGACACGTGCTGATAATTCATCGGAACAACTTGATCAGTAATCAAAAAATCATTTTCGAAATCGTGGTGGTGCTCCAGCTTCAGAATATCCTTCACTGAGAAAGGCGTCGTGGTCGTTAAACTGAGATGCATCCCAACCAATGCCATTGTATCTGGCTGAAGAACTGTCAGGTCGTTTTTACGCACCGTGCTCTATATCTGCTGGTGATGCTGCCGGAGGTATCTCTTCACTGACTGATGAGTGAGGGGCATGGGGAGATTTAAATCTTTCAAGGGTCCGGCTAAAGAGGAAGGTAGAGATAGATCTGTCACCTCTCCAAAACACTGGACAACACCCACCCTGCGCACAGTTCCTTTTCTTCTCACCTTACAGGAACACCTCACATTATTACATTTCATTTATCTGACCCTACTATTTCAAGCAACTTATGGTACATTTAAGCATGAAGGAACAAATTCAAAAAAGGAAGAATCCTACAAAAATCTTTTTTTAAATAAGCCAGACTTTGTGAAAAGGTGAAACAAATTAATAATTCTGAAGTAAATAGAAGAGTTTTATATTGCAGTCTGTCTTTTTCCAATACTTTTGGAGTTTTACAACTTAAAATGTTGTTTAACAGTTAAAGTGTCGTAGGGAAGGTGTTGCTCTGACATTTTTAAATGGGAATATTAAAAAAGAATCAACATTTAACCCTTTTCATGGATTTGAAACACTTTTACAGGAATGGTTGGGCGTACATGTGTTGAAAAAGACGTTTATAGATTATTAGAAACTACTGTCTCATAATCAACCTGTTTAAAAAAAGAAAGGGGGGGGGCGGATTATTCAATACTAAAGCACTTTTTCTCAATACATTCAAATAATTTGAAAGAAAAAACCGTACACTTTTGAGGATTGGATTTGAGACATTTACAGAACATTTGGTGCGTAAATGTGTTAAAACAAAAGTGTTGCCTCATTAGAAACAAGTGAAACTGTCACAGAATAATAAACCTGTTTAAAAAGAAAGGAGGGGGGTTCATTTATTCAGTGATCACCCAAACCACGCTTCTTCAAGTAAAGCCACTTATCTGCACACAGGTCCTCGGGGGTTGAGTGATCTTAGGTGATGTCGAACAGCTTTGCCATCAACATTGTTTCCCTGCCGCGTTATTAGTGTTCCCAGGCCACAACAAACAGTAACTTTACACCTGATGTTGTGGAAGTGGAGAGGCGGCGGCGCCAGCCTGCGATGCTTCACTGAGGCCGAGACGCGCGTCCCGAGCAGACAGGAACCAGGACAGACCGGCCTGTCCCACTGGGGCACGCTGGGAGATATATGGAGGGCACTTATAGGCCTGAGCAGGAGCCTTTTAAAGAGTGATTGAAACTGTTGATGGGTTAGTTAGGAAAATCAGAGGAATAGCAGATGGCTTGGTAGGTGGTAACACGTAGGGTTATACAAAAAACTGCATTTGTGGAATGAAACAAAGATTGTTGTATACTCATAAGTGTCATTTATGGGACATGTCCCCAACACTTTATACAATGACAGATTTGGTCCCTATTGCTTTTTTTAAATGTATGATTTGTAAAAATAAATGTTCTGAAATTAAATGTCCATTAAGAAATCTTAACCAACAAATGAAAAAAGCTGCAGGAAAGTTTATTTGCACAATAAAAAAAACATAACATTAATATAAATATAAAATAATTGAATGCATTGTCATCAACTGAAAATAATCTCCCCCTATCCAACTCATTATAAATTAAGCAAATATCATTTCTTGACAAAGTTCCCCCCGATCTTGGTATTTATCTACTTTGATCTTAAAATAAAGGCTGTGTCTGAAACAAAATCTACCCACTGCTGTATCTCAGACTGTTTAAACTGCACCTGTGATTAAGCCACACCAGTAAATCCTGCTTTGTGCTGTATTAATCCCATCACTGCCACTAGAGGTCACTGTTACTGAGGCTAAACTCCTAAGGCCCAGTGTTGCCAACTCCATAGTAAGGAAAGTAGCTAATAGCCGCGTTCACACCAAGTACTTTCCTGTACTTAGTTCCGGCACTAAGAGCCCCGGCGCTTTTAACCCCAGGGCACTTAGTACAGATCGCGTTCACACCGGAGTACTTTTCCCTGAGGGAAGATTACGCAAATGAGCCGCTGACGTCACTTCTTCTTCTTCTGCTTTGGCTTTACTGGCAGGCCACAAACCACTTCACGGCGAGTACAGTAGGTGGCGGTATGCACCTTAAAGTTGTTTGCAATCCGCTGCAAAACAAGAGAAGAAGAAGAAAAACTTCCCGCGTATACTGCGACGCCCACCCACTCGCTGTACATTAGGCGTCTGTTGTTTACCTTCCGACCTCAGACATGATGGAGATGGAGTCGACTGAAGTTGTGCTGTTTGTGCTCATGTTATACAGCTTTGTAACTGAGTTAATGCAGCCTGAGCAACTTGCGTTCAATAACAAAACAAGCCGAGCACGAGTGGTGGTGGAGAACGCTTTTGGCAGACTGAAGGGCAGGTGGCGGTGCTTGATGAAAAGAAACGACTGCAAGATGGACAAGATCACATTCCAGGTGGCAGCATGTTGCATATTACATAACCTTTGTGAAAGTAATGAGTACAGGGACTAATGGACTGCCTTACCGGCGACCCAGCTTTATGAGGCATCTGAACAGCGTGTAAATTGTAAACATTTTGACAATAAAGATGATCTTTTGTACAGTGCTTTTGTTTCTCTTTTATTTTCCAGTCAAGACAGGCAACATTACAATAGTGTACAGTGTGGCAATATAATAACAATAAACTGTGCCAGGTGTGTTGTATGCACAGTAAATAGGCTCAGCAGCAAACCCACCGTTATTATTTATCTTCCTGAGACCCACTGCATCCGTCTGCCATAAACATACATGTTAGTTTCGGCCCATAGTGGACTCCATTTTGTGTTGTGTAAAATGGGGGGGGGAATTAAAAGTTTGCAAATCCCCATGTCCTCCTCAGAGGACAATCATAAAAACATTTAGTTTTAGGTCAAATAATATTTAAAATGATATAAATTATCATATTTGTGTATGTGGCCTTGCCATTCCTCCACAAGGTTGCAACATTGATGATAAATAAATGACAAATAAAGCTTTGCCAGTTTATAACCGATGAAACATGATGGTATCAGAATAATCACTTACATGTGATGTATAGGATGCTACGGTCACTAAAGATAAAGTGTCAGGAGAAATAAGCAAGCTACAGGATCTGTTTAACAGTAAATAGAAGTTCACATTTTTAATGTAAATAAAATAGAAGTTGTACATGTAAATTAACATTATCAATATAAAATAAAGTGTCAGTTGTATCAAGACTATATAATAACAGTAATAACAATAATATAAAATGAACTGGTGAGCATCTTGTCCTCCGTTTCCTGGGCCTTGGTGAACAGCACCATCAGATCCCCGTGCATCGACTCTTTCACCACGGCACGCCGGTCCTCCAACGCCTGGGCGGTGTCAAAGAAATTCGCATCCCGTGTCCGCTTTCCTAAGAGGGGAAAATAAGCAAGATACAAGATCTGTTTAGTCGCCATGTAGTTTTACAACATACCAGGAATGTTTTTTTGGTATTTTCACAAATAGAATTAAGGTTTCACAAATCTGAAACTGTGTTATAAAGAATGTTTAGCCTCTCTGGGATAATCCAGTCCAGATTTGATGAGTCTAGGTATAGTGGTTTTAGATCAGGACCTGGTCTAATGTGGTCTACATGTAAAAAAGCACTGAAATCTCCCTTTTTTGTATTTTCACAAATAGAATTAAGGTTTCACAAATCTGAAACTGTGTTATAAAGAATGTTTAGCCTCTCTGGGATAATCCAGCCCAGATTTGATGAGTCTAGGTATAGTGGTTTTAGATCAGGACCTGGTCTAATGTGGTCTACATGTAAAAAAGCACTGAAATCTCCCTTTTTTGTATTTTTACAAATAGAATTAAGGTTTCACAAATCTGAAACTGTGTTATAAAGAATCTTTTGACTCTCTGGGATAATCCAGTCCAGATTTGATGAGTCTAGGTATAGTAGTTTTAGATCAGGACCTGGTCTAATGTGGCCAGGATGCGAAAAAGCACTAAAATCTCTCTTTTTTGTATTTTCACAAATAGAATTTAAGGTTTCACAAATCTGAAACTGTGTTATAAAGAATGTTTAGCCTCTCTGGGATAATCCAGTCCAAATAAATCGGCTATGCAGCGATTTAAGAGGTTCAAACACGGAGGATTGTTCCTTTTTGAAGAGTGCTTCATGTATGCTTGAACTTTGTTTAATGTTGTTGAGGCAAGTTAAACATAAAATATGATGAATATTATGAAATAAACATGATTGTGAACATCAGTTCGATGCGTAACGTTCTTTCAAGACAAAGTTACAGTGTGTGTACCTTTGCGTTTGGTTGCTGGTAAGGAGGACGACCACGCGCTGTGATCTAGAATGCAAAGCTCGCTTGTTTCCAATCCCGAGAGTTGTCCATCCTCGCCTGAAACAGACGATTAGTGCCATGAGTTAGTGAAGCAAATTACAGAAACACTGCACAGTTATTCACAAGTCAAAACGTTTTCATAGCGGCCGAGAATATCTAGCTAGCTAGATGTAGCTAGCTCGGGGCCGGTGTTAGCCAGTTCTGCCTAGCATGGCTAACTTGATCTACTGAGCAAATAAAAGTACATCTGAGACCATTATTGTGCAGATTAAAACCCCAGTGCATGTAGTTGATTTTACCTTCGTCGTGGTAGTCATCGTTGGCCACTGAATCCGCCGTTTGTAGTCCTGAGTTTCTTTATTTTTAGCCGGCTGTGCACGATTCCCAGGTTGAGTGAAAGCTACTGAACTGGCTTCAGTAGCATTCCCTGGGTCGCGTCCTCGGCGTAGATCTCCAGAAGTGCCGACACCTCCTCATCATTTCTTGATGCTTGCCATAACTGCTTTCAAAAACAAACCCAACGTTTGTAGCGAGGAAAAACAATGGCGTCTCCACACAACATTTTCACAGTGGTACGGGCGTGGTTTGCAATTCGCCCAGCCAATCAGCACTGGGGCACTTTTGGGGCACTTTTCACCCACAGAAAAGTACGCTCTCCCAGCAGGCTCTAAAAATGGGGGTAAAA